GCACTGTTTGCAATGGTATTTTTAAACGTTTTGAAATAAAATTTTCAAGTTGATCAAGTGGATCCGAATTCTAAAGCACTCAAGCTGTTGTAAATGTTCTAGCACCGGTAGACTGTAGTTAAACAGTAGTAAACAAACTGTGCGTTCATTCCTCTCTGAAATTTAAGCAACGGTAGCTTGACTCAAATAGAATTTTACCTTAAAACTTTGAGAAACCGGCAAGGATCTGTAGTCAATTGCAAAAGTATCGTAGAAGTGTCAGGAGAATTGTAGAAGTGGATGAGTGAGTTCAACTGATGAACCCAACTAATCACCGCAAAGCTTTCCAAATAGCAACTTTTGGAAAGTGTCGGTGTGTGGAGTGGAAAAGGAGGATGAATTCCCCGGGGCTCATTTCAGGATCGAGCTGGAAGGGGGGCGGTCCCCGGTTCTTCAGCTCCATCCCACCCCTTGTCGCCCAGCTCTATTCTCACCCCTTCACGCCTCTTATCGAACCCAATTGGCGACACAAATGTGCCGTTCTTTGCGTTAAAAATCCCCTGGGGACTCACCGTGGAGCCTTTTTTCGGCGATTGTAGTAGGTTGAAAGTAAAAAAGTTTGAGGTACGAAAATATAGGCTTAGAGAAAGGGAAAGAGATAAAGAAACATTCAGGCTATTGAAATTGTTAGAGGTTTTAAGAAACGATATGATTGAGATCATTATAATTAGCAGTTATTGGCTCCTGAAACAAAAATGAAAGCTTTTCAAAACGGCACCAACATCAAGCTTTAGAAGAAAATTGCCGGTTTTACCTGATGTATAACTTCGTCCGTTTGCTTTCACAAGCTCTAATATGTCAAAATTTGCATTCTACACCCTAAAATTACCCAGCAAAACAACTTTTGGAATAGAAATTGATTAATATTAGCTTTTCAGATTTTTTTAACGCAAAAAAGGTGCGCTAATGAGCCGGGTGCGCAAAGAAAAAGGTCGCATTTGTCCCACTCCCGTCGTGAAAAAGCTTTGTTAAAATGTGTTGAAAAGTTGCGCAAAAAATTTGACGGAAAGTAACCAACCCCACTTTTTACCTTGTTTCATGGTGTGATCTTTATTGCAGAATTCTCAGTTTGGTTCTTTCCCAGTATCGGAGAGGGGCAAAGCGAAACTTCGGCGGGGTTTCGGTGATGTGTTGGGGCGCCTTCTCATCTCATGAAAAACTGGAAATCGTCTTTGTCAAATCCAAGATGAGCTCACAAGATTACATCAATGTGCTCGAGGTCAACCTTCTTCCATATCTGCAAAGTCTCCCACAACACCAACTCACCCTACAGCAAGACAACGCCACATCAGGCAAGCAACCAAGTCATGGCTTCAGTCAAAACAAGTGCCTCTTCTGGATTGGCCTGCGTGCTCCCCCGATCTCAACCCCATTGAGAATCTGTGGGGAATGCTTGCTCGTCGAGTTTATGGCAATTCCACACAATACGCAAATGTTCAAGTGCTCAAAGATGCCATTACCCGCGAGTGGAATGCCATCCAAAGAAGCACCATCAAGAAGCTAGTTGACATGCTGAATCGAATATTTGTCGTGATCAGTCGCCAGGGATAGACAACAAAATATTAAACTCTTATTGTTATAAATAACCTTGTTATTTTAAAAAATGAACAAAAATGCAACAACGACACCAAAATTTGGGGGGTGGCGTATGGTTTTGCACCGGGAGTTCGTTCTTCGGCTGTTACATTTTCCCTATTCATGCTATGTCGACGACTTTTGGGGTTTAAGGATTATTTTTGGTCTTGAATTTAACTACGTTTTCAGTTTTTTTGTCACTGGCACGGGAGCCGCAGAAAATTGAAATTTAGGGAGTGGGGTATGGTTTTGCACCGCACTGTGTCAGTATCTACATACTTAGATAGTGCACGACTACGCGCCGCAATAAGCACAGCGAGATTGTAAGAGCTAGCGGCATCAAATTATTGCCCATTAGAAACTTGGAACAAGTTTTGGCGAAGTTTTTCGTTTTTTCTCTCTACGTTTTGTTGCTTTCTTTTTCACAAGATGTGCTAATTTTTAAATTTCAGGCACAATCACTTCCAATGGCAAAGAAACAAGATAAGAACAAAGCTTTCCAGAAGCGGAAATTGAAGGTAAATTTTTGCTTTTTGTATTTTCTCAGTGAACAGTGAAATGATTTGGCCATTTTTTGCCAATTTAAAGAAGAAGAATGAAAAATGAAAGGCAAAATCGTTTTAAAATGCGAAATGTTGCATTTTTTTTAAAACGAAACGCGTTTTTGCAATGTTTATTGCCGTTGATTGACGACATCGATTCGAAAAGACACCGCTATAACTGGTTGTTTGTAATGTTTTATTATCATTAAATTTCACACTAATTTCATTTGTTTTAGGTGGGAAAAGTACTTCGGAAGACGGCCACGACGGACACAACGTTTACCGCAAAGAAGCTGACGCTTTTGACGCAATTGGGCGGATCGCAACAACAAAATCACGGCGGAATTCGTTACGGGATTGGTGGAGATGATCAAGAGGAGGAAGTTGGGCGGATTGAAAGGTATTAACACTAGGCTTGTCCGGCTTGCAAACTAAACCTTGGTCAAATAATTGTTAGCTGAATGTACGCGCTTTAATGTTTTGCGAACAGATAATTCAAAAGAAATTAGCTTAAAAGGTTCGGTTTTTTGTGAAACAACAATCTTGCCGAAATTTATTACTTACAAGCCTAATAAATAAGATTTAAAATAGGTAAGTAATTTGCAAATTAATGCGTAATTGAGTTAACAAACCAATCAGCATTACAAAGCAAGTCAACTTGCTGATTAGATTGATCAATGCATTATTAGCGTGGTTGCTTTAAAATTGCGTTCGTGCAATGTTTAAGCATTAATATTTGATAGTGTTTCTAGTAAAACAATTAAAACGCCGTGTAACTTAATATTTAAAGCTTAGAGTTGGAGTGTTTAGTAAAATGATATAATTTAAAATTTAGTTTTCGCGGCAACACGCTGGAGGTTTTGTGCAAACAGCTCGGGCACGACAACAAGACGATGCGGAGAAGTGCCATCATACAATGCAAGCAACTCTTCACGGCAAAACCCGATGAATTGAGGACGAACCTTCACAAAGTCATTCCTGGTGTCGCAAAGCTCATCGTTGATCCAGTTAGTTTACATCTGAGAATATTATCATAAAAGTTTTATTTTTGCATTAAATTAGGTAATTTTATGGAATATCACATTGTCAAGACAATAAGACTTGGGGTTTATTAGCAATTAGACTTTAAACCTACTGCCATCAAGAATTGAAAACCTTTTAACTTTTTCTTTTAGCAATGCGACCAAGCTATACGGCCACAACTTCGCTCGCTCATTGAGGACATCTGTAGCGTGTCGGAGTCAACAATGAGCGCCCACTTCCGTCTACTACTTGCCTATGTTCAACGCGGCCTCAGCTATGTCGAATTGAGTGTGCGTACGTTTTCGCTCTCCATCCTGAAGTTATTGATGCAAACGTATAAGGTATTACACGTTAAAACTAGTGCATCTCTAAACTTATTTTAGAATCTATGTCGCAACGATGAGGAGCTTTTCCAGTCGTTTATCAACGTGCTTGGATCACCGAGAAAGCCAGCTTGGAACACAAAGGGGTTAGTTTAAGAAAAGAGCAAGTAAGCTCTTTTACAACGTTTGCTTTTAGTATCAAGAAGTAACAAGTAATGAATAAGAAAACAAAGAACTAGCATTACTGTTTATAGTATGATTAAATGATTAAAGCCTAAAGCATCGACTTTTGTTTGAAAGTCATAAGATTCTTTACACTAACAGTTGCCTAATTTTATGGTAAATGCTATTCGAAATATTTGAAATTCTTATCGCATTTTATTTTAGTTTCCTCGAATGTGTGGCCCTGTTCTTGACGGTATTCACAATCGAAGAGAAACGAACAAATTTTGGAGTCTCGGTCATGATTGATACTACAAAAGAAACGATTTCAATGTACTTTAACATAAATCACATTTTAATAGCTTGTTTTTAGACCAGTAAACTTAACGCCTTCTGGGAATCCATTTATCTTGGCTCTATCAAATCGGACATCTCAACAAGTGAGTTGTTTTTGTTTCAAAACAATGTTTAGAACACTAACTAGCAACTTTGGACAAAGTTGCCATCAAATTGTATTTACTATTAAGCAAATTTGATTAAAATAATCTATTGATATTTGATTTGATCAATCTATCTTCATTTTAGGCTTCACCCTTTGAAAATCCAGAAGCTATCCTTCAATTTTCAACAGTGATCGCTCCAATCGTCTTCATGGCTTTGTCGGATGAGAAGGGAGGACAGTTTCTAGGTAATAAACAATCTTACTACAAATTTAAGGACAAATAAAAGTCTCTAATTATTTTATTTTAGAGCAAACACTGGCTATCATTGAGAATGTCGGCATCATTTTGGGGAAACAAGACAATCGCTTTTTATTACCCAACTTTCAAGCACGCTTGACGTCTATTTGGGAAAATGTTGTAAAGGTTGGTTTTATGAAAGCTAAAACTAAAATCTATTAAAGATGCTAGACTTTGATACGTTAATACTCCAGGTTGCTATCTAATTGGTTAAAGTAGAGTACAAAATTCAAGTATAACGTAAAGGCAATATAAAATTAGTTATGCTATAGCATTTAAGCGTACGATTGTACTATTTTGTCTTTTAGGCACTAGAAAAGAAGCGCAGGAGCGGCATCAACTATAGGCAAACGCAATGGCTCGTCGAACATGGACTGATGAAAGCGGCAAAGAAGCGAGCACGTTAACAAGAATGGATGGATTACACGATAAGTTGTTGATAGATTTAAAAATTTGTTAGCTTGTCTTTGTACATCTTTTGTTGTGTTGATTGTTACTGCTTTTTGTTGATTTTACTTTTCTCAAATAAACCCGTTAGGCAATGAAATCACAAAATATGATGGAAAATATGATGGAATTGACAAATGAAAAGGTTAATCATTTCGTTTTCCAGTGATACTTTTGAAGAGATTTTTCAGCGATGGTTTAGAAGAGGCTGCTTTCATCGGGCCAGAACATCTGCAAAGGGATTGTTGAGATTCGAAACTTTAACAACACCAATGGTGTTTAATAAGCTATCCAAAGGTTTGTTGAGTCGAAACTTACTGTGCTATCACGGCGAAATCATCAATCAGTTCCTCGTCGATCGATCCACTCCGGCCACTCGTCTGAAATTGATAGGTTACGTTGGTACATTCAGCTAGTGTTAGACAAAGTAATCAATTGAACATTCGAAATCATCGCATGCTTAACTCTTGAAATTTTCTCCAAAACGAGTGCGAGTTGTTCAAAATCAATCCAATAGTAATCTTATCTAGCAAATATTTAGAAATATTTACTTTACCTTCTGAACTATTAAAAGTCTGAGGCTCTACGATTTATGCCTGTGAATTATTCAACCAACCGGTGATGAAGAGGATTCTTGCATGGCCGCCTCGATCATTCGTAACAATAATGGCTTCTCAACCGACTGAAATGGGATTCGGTGATATGTTGAGAAATTTAAAACATTTCAAAAATTGGCATCAACACATTGGGTTTCAGTTTTTCACTCACTTGCATTGTGATCGACAAGAAATTGTGCAACGAGATGAGAAAAATCTCTTGCCATTGCTTGACGAAATATTTCTTGAATGGCTCTCGGTCTTTCGCATTTTGCACATAGGAAATTGCTGTAATGAAAGGGAAGGTAAAGATCAAAAATATTTTAGTAAGCTTTAAGTTTAGCTTAGTAAGCTATAAAGATATTTTGTCGAGGTTAAGCAAGAAAAAAAACTGACTAAACCACTCGTTCCACTGTGGATTGTTGACGGCAAGTGGGGCAATTTTCGTGAAAAACTCGACACATCTGAAGTGAGAATTGATTTTTATCGTTATCCGATAGCAGACTTTTGAAGCTTTTTCAATTTTTTCATTTCAATTTTCCATACTCACTTTTGTTTATCATTTTTCTGTACACATTTCACCAAATACAGCCGATAGACATCGTTCTCGTATTGCTGAGCCAAGCGGCTTTCCTCCTGAAAAATAGGACTCAATTTCTTGCAGCAATGGTTAGTGCCACGAGAAAAATGAAGAATTAAGGATGCGCTAGAAAGGAGGCGTTTACAGGCTCAAGCACACAAAATACATCTTTGGATAAAAGAAACCCCAGAAAGTGAATTGAAGACTCGTTCATTGAATGTCGTCCAAATTTTCTTCAAGCTGTCGATATCGTGTTTTTCGATCGCCGAAAGGATCTCTTCGACGATTTTCTCGACCTGCAACATTTACATTTTCTTCATTTGCACTTCATTCGAAGAAAAAAAATAACTGCGTCTGGTAGCTTTTGAATAATTTGAATCATTTGAATAATTTGAACCATTTCAATCATTTGAATCATTTCAACCATTTCAATCCCTTGTCCTCACCTGAACTTTTGAGTGATGCTCTGTTTTGAGCTCTTGTTCAAAGGTGGACACTGTTTGCGTCAATCCACGATAGTGCAAGTAGCTGAAATGAGATTTAAGATTAAATGCAAGAGTTAAATGCAGTTAACTTTGCAAGAGTTGAAAGATTTGAAAGATTTGAAAGATTTCAAATTTCCCTCACCCTCTCACCAGCTCGTCGGCGGCTGTATTCGAGTGATCGTCATTCATCGCATTGTTTCTTTGAAAATTTCGCCGGACAATTATCGTAATCAATGATTAATTGGATAAACAATGAATAAACAATGAATAAACAATGAATTCAATATGAGAACGAATTCAAAGCAGGGAAAATCTGGACTGTGTTGGGAGTGGAGAGAGAGTTGAATGAGAGAAATATCGCAAAGAGAACAGTGGTTGGGCTACGGTGGCTTTAGTGTGAAATGAGTGGCCATTGGAAAAGGAGAGTGAACTGATCGGATTGATCTTTGAAAGACAAAGTTAAAAGAATGATTGAAAGAAAAGCCACCCGGATGGAGTAGTGGTGAAAGAGTCGTCTCTACAACCAAAATTGTTCGCCATCAGGTGTAGGATTCTTCTAAAATCATTTTTTTCAAGGCTAAGTCAAAGCTAGAGCAGACACAGCCTATAAAAAGCAACTGGGCTTGTCAGAAGAGGCTTGTGGGTGTGGGAGACCTTTGAATCTGGTGAACCTGGCAAACTTGGCGAAGCTGGCGAACCTGGCGAACCTGGCTTTTGATCGGTTCTGATCTTTCCTGGCTTATGCCCGATTTGGCTTGGCTTATGCTTGACTTATGCTTGGCTTATGCTTGGCTTATGCTTGACTTATGCTTACCTTCTCTTTCTTCCTTTCTCTTCCCCCTTGTATTTCCTCTTGCCCTCTTCCCTCTTTCTTCTTTGGCAAGAAGATAGAGCTCAGTGGTTAGAGCATCTGCCCCAGAAAGCAAAAAGGTCAAGGGTTCAATCCCGTCTCCGGAAATCTCGGTTTACCATTCCTTCCTTTCCTTTATTCTTTGCTTATATACTTTACTTTATTATTATCTAAATCTATTACTTTATTTAGTCTTACTATTTGAAAGTGAAATCGAGTGATTTTCTGGTCTAGTCTGTGATTTCCATGTTAGCTAAAGTCTTCTCCTTTAACGCGAACTGAAAATTCATAGTTTTCAGGGCTAGATTTAAAGAGCTAAAGCTAAAGAGCTAAATCTAAAGAGCTAAAGCTAAAGAGCTAAAGCTAAAGAGCTAAAGCTTACTCCAAGCTTAACTGAAACAAAGCTATCCCAAAGTAAACGATTGAAAATCTTTTAAGCAATTCTTTGACTTTTGACTTTCAAAACCCATATCCTTGATGATTTTTATGAAAAGTTTCAGCACAGTCGTTGAACTGATATCAAAAGGATCTCAACGTACGCTTTTGAAGAATTGTTTCTTTTTCGGAAAACTCTAAACCGTAAATTCTGTCGTTCTTTCAGGAACAATTGTATATTTCTAGGCATTCCTTCACCGATCACTTTTGATCTCCTTTTTTGAAAACCATCTCGCTTATCAAACTCTGATTTTTCCAAATTTCCTTCACAAAGATTTTCCTTTCTTTTTTCTTTCACTGAAAAATTCATTTTTTTTGAGATCTCATGGTCAAATTCTTTGCAATAAAAAGCGATTTTCTTTTGGTTTTTCTTGATAGTTTTTTCATTTATTTCCAAAATGAGCGCGACATTGAACAGTCTCGTTGCGACGAATGGCTAAACCAATTTACTTTCTGTAAAAAGTAGACTTCGGAAAACAAAACTTAACCAAAACCAAAACAAACCAAAACCAAAACCATAACAAAACTTAACCAAAACCAAAACCACCAAAACCACCAAAACCAAAACAAACCAAAACAAACCAAAACCAAAACAACCCAAAACCAAAACAAACCAAAACCAAACCAAAACCAAAACCAAAACAAACCAAAACAAACCAAAACAAAACCAAACCAAAACAAACCAAAACCATAACAAAACCAAAACCAAAACCACCAAAACCAAAACCATAACAAACCAAAACCAAAACCAAAACAAACCAAAACCATAACAAAACCAAAACTAACCAAAACTCGCCAATATCTCGAGACCGGGAGGAGCTAGCGAAAATCTGTTTGCAGATTTGAAATCAGCATCCAAAAATCTATCCCATAGGCTATTTTTTGTTTCGAAATTTCGAGGTCGTGTTTTGGTCCTTTTTTCGGCCGCGAGATTTTGTGGAGTGAGGAAAAGTGAAAGGCAAATTTGCATTTTACATTAAAATCTGTATTTTACATTAAAATTTGCATTTTACAATTTTAAATTTACATTTTAATTTAAATGCAAATTGAGTTTTGGTTTGTTTTGGTTTTGGTCTGTTTTGGTTTTGGTTTTGTTTGCCGAACTCTAGTAAAAAGCATTAGCTGCTAAATTGAATCCTATTTCTAGATTTACTAAAGGTTTTTTTTGCTGAAATTAATCACATAATCCTAGAAAGTTGGTTGAAAGATGTGGAGAGGACTTTTCAATCACCTTGTACTTGTTGGACTCTGTGCAGCGGCCTTACTCGTTAGTTCTTTTGGATCATGCTCTTTATTTGTATCAAATTCTGTTCTATCCCACAACCCCGTCCTTTTACCCAATCCCAGATGTCTCTTGGTTAAAACTAACTTAAAGAATCCAAGAAAGCAAAAGCACAAAGGAGAAGGATGGACTCGAACTAGCCAGTGAACTAAAGAGTTACCTTGTAATCTAACCCACTGCCAATCACCTTGTACTTGTCGGACTTTGTGCAGCGGGCTTACTCGTTAGTTCTTGTGGATGATGATCTTTATTTGTATGATATCTGTCCTATCCCACAACCCCGTCCTTTTCCCCAATCCCAGATGTCTCTTGGTTAAAACTAACTTAAAGAACCCCAAAAAGCAAAAGCACAAAGGAGGAGGACGGACTCGAACTAACGAGTGAACTAAAGAGTTACCTTGTAATCTAACCCACTGCCATTCGTTCTTGCCCGTTCTTTTGGATCATGATCTTTCTTTGTATCAATTCTGTTCTATCGCGCAACCGTCCTTTTCCCCAATCCCAGATGTCTGTTGGTGGTTAAAACTGGCTCTTTCTTTTCTTCTTTGAAGCTTCTTTGAGGCTTCTTTGAAGAAAAACTCAAAACTTTCCTCATGTCATCTTGTCAATTTTTCTCTTTAAATTCCTAATAGTTTTTTTCAACAAAATTTTAAGACCAAATATTTTATTAAATATTAAAAAGTTTTTATTTGCTTTTTACACCTTTTCACTGTGATTTTAGGTACTTTAATACTCTATTTAGGTACTCTATTTCTAAACTAGGCTTCGCTAATTCAAGGAAAAGCCATTGGGTGAAAGTTGAAGGCAATTGGTGTCCAAAAATTGACAATTTGGCAATTCTTTAGTGAAAAGGTGAAAAAATTGCCTTTTTTCTAATAAATAAGTCTATTTTCGGGGAGATTAACCACTCTAAACGAATTGATTTGTTGAAAACTTTAGTGAAAACTTTTATTGAAAACTTTCAAACTTCTGTTCACTCAGTGAAAATGTTGAAAATGTTGAAACTTTGAAACTTTGAAACTCAGCAAAAAAGTGAACTCTTTCCCTTAAAGAAAGGCATAAATCTTTCCTCAATCCATCTCTTTCCTTTCGATCATTTCCATCCTTTCCAGCTTTTTTTTCCAGCTTTCCCCGATTATTTTCTATGAATATTCTATGAGTTCTCTCATTGAAATCGTTTTTTTTACACCAACTTGATAAAGATCTTGTTGGCTTTTCGCAACTTTTCATAATATTTTACATCTATTTGTTGTCTGGTTTAAAGCCGATTTTCATTTCTATCAACGTATTCACTTTTAACTATTTGGTTGGTGAATTGAAAACTGCCGGACTTTGAACTAAAATTTATTCAACATAAAACCATGAATTCATTCCAAATATTCCATTATTATAATTCCATTATTATTGACGACTTCTGCCCATTTTACAGGCAATTTGCGGATTCCTCTTTCGTAGTAGGATTTTGGTTTGTGTGTGAGACAAGTGTGAGACTCAAAAATAGAGGACTGGAGATCCCAGTTTGAGCACTTTCTTCAAAAGAAACCCATTTTGGTGTCAATGGAAAAGTTGTAGAGAATCAAAAATTAGGCTTATAGCCAAATTTCCAGAAAGATACACTTAGTAGTTTTGCTTAAAATGCAAGTTTTGTTGCAAGTTTTGTGAAAATTCGTAAATTTGGCATTGCTTGAAAACCAGTTGTTGAATCGTTCTGAAAATTTGGCTATAGGCCTCATTTTTGATTCTCTACAACATTTCTATTGACACCAAAATGGGTTTCTTTTGAAGAAAGTGCTCAAACTGGGATCTCCATCTCCAGTCCTCGATTTTTGAGTCTCACACTTGTCTCACACACAAACCAAAATCCTACTACGAAAGAGGAATCCGCAAATTGCCTGTAAAATGGGCAGAAGTCGTCAATAATAATGGAATTATAATAATGGAATATTTGGAATGAATTCATGGTTTTATGTTGAATAAATTTTAGTTCAAAGTCCCGCAGTTTTCAATTCACCAACCCAATAGATCAACGTTCGATTTAGAGTGAATTAAGGTCCAACGTCCGATCTAGAGTCAAGCCGATCACTCTAAGACAGGCCTCCGATTCAGCGTACGATTCAGAGTAAGATTTAGAGTGATCGGCTTGATTCTAGATCAGACGTTAGACCTCGCTTCACTCTAGACATCCGATCCAGACTTAGACGATCCAGACGATTCTAGATTGAACGGATTCCTAGATCGGACTTAACAACTATGGTAGATTATTCTTGATTCTTGATAATTTCTTGCTTGAGGATTAAACCTTGAACCATACTTAGCTCAAATTTCGGACTGATATCTGAATAAATTGTAACTCTTCCTAGCTTTCACAAATTTCAAACGCTTTCCCGATCTTCAAACCTTTTCTTTCACATTGACGTTTGCTTTCTCAAATAATTTATGTGAATGAAAAGTTTCTCATTGATTTTTGATGGGAAAAGCTTTGATGATTCAGACAATTCCGATCAGAAAACGATGAGAGGACAAGTTTTGTAAAGTTTTCGGAGCACAAATTCATCAATAAAAGAGGTAATTTGCTAATGAATTTTTAACAAAAAGCTCTTACGTAGTTTCCGGGTATTTTGA